TTACATGTTCTCCCCGTGCACACGTGGGTTTTCTGCAGGTGCACCAGTAATGGTAACTAAACTGTCCACAAGTGACAGCATGAATGGTTGTTTGTCTCTTTTGTCTCCCTGTGATGGACAGAAGACCTGTCCAGGTGTCCCCCTCACACACTGACTGCTGGAGACAGCTCCTTACAACCCAGAAAGGAGCAGCAGGTCAAGACAAACGATGAATGGATGAAAAACAAACACAAAACTTCTTTAGATTTATGAGCTGGGGTTAAAAACCAAAGTCCAAAACAGACTCGGGCTTGAGTTCTCCTCAGATGTCCAAGAAACAACACGCCTGTCATTACATTATTACCCGTTAAGCATTCTGAAGGCAGCCGGCAGGTGGAGGTGGATCAGCCGGTGGCTGAAGGGGATCGGTCAGAGCGTCCTCGGAGGAGCAGAGGCTGAAGACTGTAAACACAAAACGGAAGAGCCGACCGAGGATGGAGAACAAGAACCAGAACCGGATCCTCTCGGTGGACTGAAGACAGAGCTGAACGTCTCCTTTGGGTCACATCAAACTGCTGCTGACCGGGAGGCGTGTCGGTCCAAACATGAGGACGTGATGGACGATTTCAGGCGGAGTATAACGCGAGGGTTTACCTAGTCAGATGACCTGACTGAAAATTGTTGGATTGTATACCTGGATTACTGAGCATGGACACAAGATGGAAACGGTAAGAACTGTTTACATAGTTTACAAAAAGTTCCTGTGTGAACAAGGTCTCATTTACATCTTCATGAGAGAAAATGTGTCTCCTGTGAATCCTAGAGTTTTAGGATGTTGCAGGTCCTGGATGACTGAGAATCAACACCGGCTCATCTCCGGTTGCACAAAGGTCGTAATGACCTTCAGGAGGGAGAACCGCTTGACCGTTGGGAGCAGGGAACCCTCTGAGAACAAGAGAACTTTAAGGAGATGATGGGAATCGGATTCACTCCTGACATCTGAAGGCCAGCAACATATCATCCACAAACTGGGTGCTGTCCTTTGTAAGGAGGACAGATTTGTGAGAGCAGAAGACGTGGGACAGATTTCAGACGTCCTACAACGTCTCTGTCTGCTCTTTCAGATGAAGACGAGTACGAACACAGGCTAAAAGCTTTTGGATCTTTGATTTTCTGATTGATCTTCATAAAACATACGTACTACTAAGATGTCGGGAACAGAGACGAGTATTTCCCTTCATCCCCGAGCTGCGCTCAGACCGTCTTTGTTGTCCGTGAGGTGAATGGTGAGTGGACTGTACTTCTATAGCTCCTTTCTATCTTATCAAGATCCTCAAAGCTCTTTACAACAATCTGTGCCCTCATTTACCCACTCATGCAGCTCTCTACTAGATCTCTACAAAAAATAATCAGAGCTTTATCACATTCATACACTGATGGGACACACATCGTAGGCAATGAGGGGTTCAGTGTCTTGCCCAGGGACACTTCAGCATGTGACTGCTGGTGGAATCGAACCCCCAACTCTTGCATTGGAGGATGACTGTTCTAACCACTGAGCCACAGCTGACCGAAGTCTTAAAGGGAAACCTGCAGTGTTGGTCCATATTTGAGCCAAGCTGTCAGAACAAATGAACCCTGATGATTTTTTAACGTCAGACAGAAGAAGTCCAACTCTTAACGAAGCTGTGAAGCAGAGAAAACTGGACGAAGCGAGAGGATTTCTGATGGTTCCTGTAAGAGGGACATCAATCTGAGTCCCTGGAGTCCAGAAAAAGCTTTCAGCCAGTTTTATCTCAGTGTTTACCCCTCAGGCCTCCTGGTTCGGTTCTTTCTCAGAGCCCTCCAGCTTGTTACAAAACATCTGTTAGAAAAGATCTGAAAAAGAAAAACCAGCAGCACCCAGCCCGCTCTGTGTCAAACAGAGAAATACAGGAGACGAAAGTGGGCCCGTCAGAACCAGGACACCCGGACAACCCGTCCATTCGTCAGCTGGAAACAAACACAATAATTCCTCATTTTATTTTCAGCTGCTGGACGTGAGCTTTCATGTTTAGTTTGTTCAGAACAAACAGACAAAGACGGTCCTCTGTGAAAGGACTGGACCAGAGGGACCAGCCCCCGTCCTGCTGTCAACATCTGGATTGGACAGCAAAACAAAGTTTCAGCTTTTATACGCATTTCCATCTGGATCAGACACATAGCTAAGAGGAGAATGTTATTTATGATGAAAGACCAAGAGTACTGGACCACATGGAGGACAGTCCAAACAACTGGAGCCTTCCTGAAGGAGACGGGAACCTCTGGCGTCATACAGGAAGACGAAGGACAACACCAGCAGCAGAAGACAGAAACACAGTGAGAGCTTTGACCCAGCTGTTAGAGACATCAGCACCAACCTGCAGAGAACAGAGTGAAGGTCTCACCATCTACTGTCCACAGAAGACCTGCAGAGGACAGGAAGTGGAAGGTTCTGGACCGGTACAGTCCATTTCCTGACTTCAGCCTATAGAGCTGCATTTTCCTGCTAAAGAGGAGCCTGAAGGGACTGACCCCCAGAAAAAAACGTGACTGAGGCTGACAGCCTGGAGAAGCAGCACAGAAGAAGAAAAGTAGAGTTGGGTGACGTCAGCAGGTCTCAGGTATGATGAGGTTTGAGCAGCAAAGGATTTACAATGGACTCAGTTTTAGTCGCTTTCATCTAGCTTCAGAACCAGGTGGTCTGAGAAAGATCTCATACACAACCAGGCAGTCTGAGGAACATCTCACACACAACCAGGCGGTCTGAGGAACATCTCACACA